GCTCAAAGGTTTTCATTAGCAAGACATTTGATGAAGAGTTATTATGTGATTTAGGGCCCACTTAAATTGCTGAAAATATATATATTATAATTATTTGAATGAATATAAAATAAATATAAATAATTTTTATCATCCAAAATTAAATGAAAATAATATAAAACTCACCAACAGAGATAACAAAGCAAACAAAAGACAACAACAAACAACAGCAACAAGTCGCGAAACCGATGCAAGAGCAAAAAATTATTATTTTTTACAGAGTTTGATAAAAAAAAAAAATGAATTTTAAATATATAAAAAAAAAACTCCAAATTAACTTTAAGATTCACCAAAAATATTACTCTACATCCATTTTTTTTCATCAATTCAACACCAAAATTATTAAAACCACTATATTTGAAATTCTCTTTAACTTTTTAACAACCTAAGCAGTTCCTCAAGCTCTGATGAAAGCATTGGATCAGTCATTATTCTACGTGAAGATATTTTTTGTTGAAGAGGAACAGCAAAACAAACAAAACACAACACAGATAAAACTAATACATAATATAAAAATGTTGAAGCATCAACCTGTATTAGATCCTAACTTTAAAGCTCATTTCTAGTTTACAAAAACAACGCTGCAAGCAGACTTCTCTCCTGCTTAAAAGAATCCTCAACTGCAGCACAAGACTATCTCCAACCCGAGGCTACAGCTGCTCCGCCCTCTTTCAAACGGTCCCGAGACTCTGATCTGCTATTTCAGGTACCTAAGAAAAAGGACCGTATTATCCCGTGGTAATAACTAGCAATGCTTCATACAAGAGAGAGAAAAACAATATTTCAGGTGTTCTGATGCAATCCTTTTCCAAGAGAATTACCCCCAGGAGTGGGAAAATTATTAGGTCCGGACACCGGACGTAGAAATACGGCCGGACGTCAATAAAATGTCAACACGTGGAGTTGACACATGGATATTCAATATGTTTAATGTGTCCGCGGAACTTTAAGCCAAGCGCAACTAAAGCACAGTAAAAAAACATAGTTAAAGCGCACAAAAAAAGCACAACTAAAGTGCACTCTACATGTCAAATTTTTAGTTGATGTTTGGACGTATCTCTACGTCCAGTGTCCGGACCTAATAATTTTCCCCATGAGTTATGTGTTCATCTCAATAACTATGAATTGAACAAGTCAATTATTTCTGAGGGACTCCTACAAAAACAAAAGGATAGTTGTTGCACTTTTATCAGTTTTCTTTTAGACGGTCAGACCAGGAAATCATGAGGAAGTCCTTTCTTCATTAGCTTTATCCCAAGTATACGGGGTTGCATACTTAGACGTCTAATAGCTAAAGTCATTTCAAAATACTAAGCAAAAATTTAACAAGGAATCTAAGTTTTTTCACAAAGCAAAATGATTAGTCCTTTCTTCAAAACCCGAATGTCGATAATCAGTAATCATAGATGCTTAAGTATAATTGCAATCCAAGTCTAACTGAAATAAGATTTTAATCCAAGTCCGACTGAAGTACCATAACAATCCACTCAATAAATTTAAGCCTTATTAACAAGGAATCTAAGTTTTTTCACAAAGCAAAATGATTAGTCCTTTCTTCAAAACCCGAATGTCGATAATCAGTAATCATAGATGCTTAAGTATAATTGCAATCCAAGTCTAACTGAAATAAGATTTTAATCCAAGTCCGACTGAAGTACCATAACAATCCACTCAATAAATTTAAGCCTTATCAATAACCAAGCTGGGAAAAAATTAAGTTGAGTGTTGCAGATATGAGGATGCTCATGTAGATGAGTGGCTTCACTCTTAGAGACAGAATGCGAAACGGGTATATACGTGAAAAGATTGGAGTAGCTCTAATGGCAAAAAGATTATAGAGAGTCGCCTTAGATGGTTTGGACGCATAAAAGGTCGGCCTTCCGATGACTTGGTTAGGAGAGATGTATTGGATTTGGCCTATGTTAAGAAGAGTAGAGATAGAACTAAAAAGATTTGGCTAGAAAATATTAGAAATGATCTTTTTTTATCAAATTTAAATGAGAATTTGACTCTTAATATGACACAATGGAGAAAAAAGAATTCATGTAGTAAACCCCACAGTGTGGCATAAAGGCTTGATGTTGTTGTTGCTCTGATTTGTAAGAAATCAAAACTAAAATTGCTCACATGTAGGTCCCTTAATAGCTTTGCAAAGATGATGAATGCATTTGCTAAACAAGTCATCAATTTCTACACTAGTAGTAGAGATTTACTTTATACAACAGCAGAGAACATTAAAAATCTTAATCAGGAACAGAAGCACTCTCTCAAATTGCTTTCATAGATAAAGAAAGGCCTTTTTCCTAGTTCATGCTTCGACAAGAGGTGAGCATCTTAAGTTTAAAGAGTCAATACTACAGCTTAAAATACCCAAGGCGATGAAGGAGAGTGAGGCATTAGTTCTTTCTTGAAATATATATAGAAATTGTAAAATAACTTAGAACTAAAAGAAAAATCATTAAATTTATAATGTACAGCCAAAATAGGAAAAAATAAAAAAAACATTGCAGTTCATTAAATATGCATAAACTCAAACAAGTATGTTAAATTATATAACATTGGCAATATTGCATGAAACTATACTACAAACAATGCAAGTCCAAAAAACCATAGGAAAGAAAACGTGAAGAGAAAATGGAGGGCAAAAAGACCCGAAGGATGAAGAAAAAGAGAAGAATATGAGTTTCTTTATGATCGAAGGAGCAGAAGAATATTCAAGAAATAAAAAAGAAAATAAACGAATAGATAACTATAATGAAAGAAAAAGAAATAGAAGGAAATATAGAATAACAATGTTACAATATCAGAACATAAGATACATGGCAGTATATCTCCAACTAATAATATCAACTTTACAAAAAGGAAGAAACGACTAATTTCATTAAACTGCCCAAGGAAAAAAGTGCTCACTAAAGTGTTTGTCAACTAAGGCACCAGCCACTATGCTGTTCACCACCACCACCACAACAACAAGCCTTTATTTTATCAGTTGGGGTCGGTTACATGTCATTTTTTTTCATTGTGTCCTATTAAGAGAAAAATTCTCATTCAAATAAAAAAAAAGTCATTTCTAATATTTTCTAACCCAGCCTTTTTCTCGTGTGTGGAGCCGAGCGTGAAAGAGCAAATGGAAGGAGTGTCTGTCAAAGCCTTGCTCTCATCTCCTCTTTATAGATCGAGTGCAGCGACAGAAACGAGACGATCTCGCGGCTTTTCCGCAGGATTTCGCGGGGAAGCGATGGATTCGGCGCCGAGCTACGGGATTCCAGCAAGATTTCGGGGAAGCGACTCGAATGACGTTGAATCGACGGGATTTAGGCATGATTTTATGGATCCAACGGGTTAGAGGTATGCAGATTTTTTTGTTTCCTTTGGACATTATACGAAGGTCAACACCATGGTTTAAAATTGCGCAATATGAGGCTCGCCTCGAGGCCCGCCTTTGCGCAATTCCAGTAAAAAATGCATTGATGCTTACGCCTCGAAATTTTTTTATGAGGCTTGCGCCTCAACTTGGTTGAGGCCCGCCTCGCCTCACGCTATATATATTAAAACTTACATAAATCTTGAAGTAAATGCCCGACATTAGACTCTATAGCAGAGGAGGAAGGGGAGAGAGCAGTTCATCATAATGATGATTTAAATGAAGAACCCCTAAGTGATGACAGTGTTGATGACTTATGAGTTCTTATGTGATATGTCATTTCTATTTATTTTTTAAAATTGGAATTATATATTAAAGAAAAGAATACTGGGATTTGGGAAAGATAGAATTTTGAGTTGAACTATATTTCATGTTGTCTTATTATTGGGATATTTTGATTTCACTTAATATCTTATGCTTTTTTATGTTTTATATTATTCACTCATTAATATATAAAAAATTTATCATTTTATGTTTACGCAATCTTTTGATTTTGAGGCTTACGCCTCAAAACGCCTTGAGGCTTGCGCCTCGCCTCACGAATGAAAAATGCCTCAGTACCCGAATACACAATTTTAAACATTGGATGCATCTACTTTCCTAACCGGGTCATCAGAAGGACGTCGTTTAATGTCACCAAAGCATCTAAAGTGACTCTCTCTAATCTTATATTCCACTAGAGCTACTCCAACCTTTTCACGTATATGTTGATTTCATATCATGTCTCTAAGAGTAAAGAAACTCATCCACCTAAGCATCATCATCTCTGCAACACTTAACTTAATATTATGCTTATCTTTTAATGGCCAATATTCTGCACCATAATGCATGCCTCACCATCATCTTATGAAATTTTCCCTTAAGTTTGAAGGTAACTTTTCTATCACACAACAAGCCTGATGCTCCTCCAATTCAACCATCCAACTTGAATTATGCTAATAATATCCCCATCTATTTCACCATCGCTTAGAACAATAGGGTCAAGATATCTAAAACATATACTCTTATTAAAAACTTAACAGCCTAAAGTCACAAACCCTACACTAGATCTATTAATACTAAATTTACACTTCATATATTCAATTTTAGATCTACTCAAACGAAAACCATTAGACTCTAAGGTTGACCTCCATAATTCAAGCTTACCTTCAACTCCCTCTCTAGTCTTATCAACAAGAAGAATATCATTAGCAAAAAGCAACACTAAGATACAACCTCTTGCAAATGTCTAGTGAAAACATCCATGACTAAAGCAAAATGATACAGGCTTAAGGGTGATCCTTGATGTAATCCAACAGAAATAGGAAAATGCTTGGTTAAACCACCTTGTGTTTGAACACAAGTAACAGCACCTGCATACATATCCCTGATGACTTGAATATAAACATTATTAACTCCTTTCTTTCCTAGAACTTTCCATAGCACTTTTCTTTGAACTTTCTCATATGTTTTCTCTAAATAAATAAATATCATATGAAGTCACAATGCCTACACTAGATCTATTACTACTAAATTTACACTTCATATATTCAATTTTAGATCTACTAAAATGAAAACCATTAGACTATAAGGTTGACCTCCATAATTCAAGTTTACCTTCAACTCCCTCGCTAGTCTTATCAACAAGAAGAATATCATTAGCAAAAAGCAACACTAAGGTACAACCTCTTGCAAATGTCTAGTGAAAACATCCATGACTAAAGCAAAATGATATGGGCTTAAGGGTGATCCTTGATGTAATCCAACAGAAATAGGAAAATGCTTGGTTAAACCACCTTGTGTTTGAACACAAGTAACAACACCTGCATACATATCCCTAATGACTTGAATATAAACATTATTAACTCATTTCTTTCCTAGAACTTTCCATAGCACTTTTCTTGGAACTTTCTCATATGCTTTCTCTAAATCAATAAATATCATATGAAGATTCTCCTTATTCTCTCTATGCTTCTCCATCGAACTACTCAATAAATGTATAGCCTCCATAGTAGACCTAACCGACATGAATCCAAATTGAATTTGAGAAAAATTAGTATCACGTCATAACCTATGTTCCATAACTCTCCCAAAGTTTTAAATTATGACACATTAACTTAATCCTTCTATAATTCGCACAAACTTGTGCATCACCTTTATTCTTAAAAATAGGAATTAGCATACTCATTCTTCAGTCATCTGACATCTTTTTAGTCTTAAAAATAATATTAAAAAGTATAGTAAGCCAAGAAATTCCTTCATCTCCTAAGCATTTCCACACCTTTATTGAAATATCATTAGGTCCAACAGCTTTTCCACACTTCATTTTATTTAAAGTCTCTCCAACTTCAATTTTACTAATATGACGATAAAAATAACAATCTTTATTTTCATTTAGGATGTTAAGGTCACTAAAATCAATCGTATTCTCACAATCTTCATTGAAACGTTTAGCAAAAAATCTCATCCACCTTTGTTGAATATCTTCAAATAAAAGTGCTTTTTAATTTTCATCCTTAATACACTTCACATGCACTAAATCCTTACTACACCTATCTCTTTGTTTAGCTACTTATACATATATGTTTCGCTCTCCTTAATATCTAATTTATTATATAAATCATTAAAAGGTAAAATATTTGCATCGCATATTGCTTTATTAGACACCTTACGGGCCTCTTTATATCTTTCCCAATTATCACAGTTTTTATATCTAAAATAATTTTTATAACAAATCTTCTTATTTTTTATATTTTACTGCACATTTTGATTCCACCACTTACTATTTTTACTATTAGAAGTTGTTGATCTCTATAGAAAAAATTATATATATATATAATTAACGCCTCGTGTACCACAAGAGCAAGCATGTCGACGTGCTGCACACTTTTTTTCCCGCTCTCTCCCTGGTCACTTTCTACTCTCCTCATTCTAGCATCCGAATCCCATATGCTTCCTCCCATTTGAACATAACCAGGTCTCGATCCAATCGACTCCAACCATTTTGATCCCTTATGCAACTGAGATATTGAGGGCTGCATTAGATGCAAGTGCCTACGAGCTACTATAGAAACCCCTCATAGTCAACAACCATGTCGAGAAGAGTGACAGTTGGGATAAAAGAAACTCGATGTAAGGAGAAAGTCCGCCAACATATTACTAAAGAAAGGTCCTAACTATGGCACTAAGTATGCAAGATTGAATGATTCTGTATAGTCAAAGAATGATCAGTTAAAAAGATATCTCGATGGGAGGATATACCAAAGCTAATTTGGATGGAAGTACCACTGAGATTTTTATATTATGTTATATCTTTGCAGAAATATCGAGGCTTGTAGAGAAATGCCGCATTATTTGAATGAAAGGAAAAAATAACAGGAGATCAAGCTTCACAACCTAACGTCCTACACATGCCTCACTAAATGTTGCAGCTGTAAACTGAACTGCTATTGGTTGCCATGTCAAGGACTATAATAAAAACTTCCATATCCCATATGCATATAAGATACTGGAATGTCATTGGGATACTAAAAATTATCTTGTATTTTGTCATGTTCATGCTTCGAGGAGATTACCTCATAACGAAGTACAAAAAGAAATCTAATAGTATCTTAGCCGAGCATTTTGTCTCATCAGATTATGATAACTAACCTATCAAAAAACGACCTCATGCAACTTGGATGTCCTCATCTAGTTTGAACAATGTTAGATGAATCATGGATCTGATCTCTCGAAGGACAAGAATATGGAGCTCGTATAAGAACAATGAAGTATCTCATGGCTATTTTGAATGGTAGATGAGTTCTAAATGTAAGCCGAATCAAAGCATTCTTAAAAGCTGAACATCCTGTTCGAGAAGGAAATTATGAGATCACTCATAATATCCATGGGTGCTTTAATGACTCGAAAAGTGGAAGGATTCGGGCTATGCAAAAGTCCCCAAAACTTTTTTAACTAGCTAACTTTCCATTTCAATAATCTCATCGAACCTTCATGGAAAATCTTGCAATCGAAGCCAAAAATTGGGTTTTAAGCAAGTTTGAGTTGCAGAATTCGAGCTCAAAATGTTGTAAAAAAAGCTTGAGACTGCTGAAGCATTAGCTCTGGAGGCAGGAACTGTTGTTTGTCATACATTTTCCCTTAATGCTATTGCTGCTAATGATCTACAAATGTCGTATGAAGATGCACTTGCTAAATCACACCACCGGATCTACGACAGTCGTAAAAACGGACAGAAGGTCCACAAGGAAGCTCGTGCATCCTCCAAATGATCATTGCTTGTTAATAAGAATTCAATACTGCACGACGGCCTTCTTGCGATAAGCAACATGTAATCCATAGCGCAGCACTACGCCACCAAATCTACAACATTCGCAAACAAACATAAGGTGTTAACAAAGTCCAAAATAAAATCATGTGTACTTGTCAGCAATAGCCACCTGCATAGCTAGCTACATCTAAAAATGCAAAAACACCCCCACTCATGCATTAAGATACGCATTGATATGCATTCCATAATATACATGTATTTGCAATATGCAGAGGGTTTCATTCCGGCATGTCAATTGACATTGCAATCATGATTTAAAATAACCTCTTGCCTGCATTTGCAATATGCAGAGGATTTTATTCTAGCATGTCATTTAACATTACAATAATAACTTAAAATGACCTCTAGCATGCATTTGCAAGATGCAGAGGGTTTCACTCAAGTACTATCATGCAATATAATATCTACATACAAAAATGTCGCACACTGCAACTATATAGTATGCAAATACAAAATGCAAAATGCATAGGCCAATATATGTGATACATATGCGATGTATACATTCACAACAAATGTATAACAATCATATAAATGCATCATGCAAAATACACATAAAAGTATATACCCGTATGGGCCCCTGTAAGTGTGTCGAAGGTATACTACATGTCACATCTAAGGATATTGTACAGGTTAAAAAATGAATTTAGATACGAACACAATCCTCTGTCAGTAAAGTGACAGAGTCAATAAGGTTCAATCAACAAAAATGAAATTACGAGGGGTAATTAACTATAGGTGCTTGTGTATATAGGAAACCAAAACTCAGATCATAAAGTCCTCGCAAAATCAGAAAGAAATCTCTGGGTAGTGTCTTATTTAAAACCTAATTTGCTTTCTGAAAATTTAGCTCATAACTTAAGCGTTAAAACTCTCCTTGAAGACCCAAAGAAACAAAACAAATGGATCCGTGGAGAGGCCGGAGTGCAAATTTTTGGAGCCCACAAGAGCTTTTCCCTTTGATACTCCAAGCACATCTTTTGCGACATTCTTAATATCACTAGCTACATTTTTCCACATAATATTAGCTTCCTCATGCACAAATAAAATCTTAAGATCTAGAATCTTACTCTCAAAAATATTTTTGTTAATATTGTTTAAAAGCCCTCATCTAATTCTAGAATAATATTTTACTTTTTTTTTATATTATGTCATTTCATCTTAACCTCCAAAACTAATAAGCCACTATGTTGTTCACCATTTAAACTAAATCACCCATGAAAGTGTAACGCATTCAGAAGGGGCATTTCTAAACATGACATACCAGGAAGGCGCTAGCACATCAATAGTTATAAGTCTTGGCTTGTTTTTGCTCAAAGCAGGCAGGCTTCTCAGAATCTCAAATGCTTTATAGTAATTTTAGAATAATAGCCACTATTGATGCTTAATCCAGGAAAGTTCAAGAATGCACATAAGTTGTAATTCTAAAAAAATAATCAAGCTGGAATTGGAGTCATTCGTGATAACAAAGGTAGATTTCTAATGTCGTATGGATGGAAAATGTTGCATTGAGACATAGCTCAGTTGGAGCTAACGGCTATTTTTTCAATCCCTGAAGTACTGCAGGAATGAAAGTACGATTACCAGAGTATTATTATTGAAGGGGATAATGTAAACATTATAGAGCTTGCCACAACTCTTTGAAGAAGGTGCTTGGTCAACACTTGGACAAAATTGATGACAACTTTTTTTTTCTCAAAGAATTTAATTATATTGTTTTACATTTTATTAGTAGGCATTGTAATAAGTTGGCAGATTATTGTGCCTCCTAAGCTACTTGTGGGAATTTCCTATGGGATGTTTCTTGTTTCAATAATCTTCATCCATCATTTGTTAAGATGGTTAGTGAAGATTGAGATAGATTTTCCATCACTTAGGTCTACTTGTATTTTTCGTTTCTAGTTTTAAAGCTATTTGCAGTTTCTTAGAAAAAAAAGGAGTTGCCATGCATAAACGACAAAGACAGTCCATGTTCAAGGAAAATAAGTCAAATAACAAAGTATTTATTTAAAAGAGAGCTTTGAATAAGATTATTAAAGATAACATCTTCTTATAATAGCAGACAACAACTATGAAGCAAGTAAAGAAAAAGGGTTATTATAGTGCTATAGCATAAACATTTAAGAACCTCCGGTTTTATTTTTCCACGCCCACCCTTGTGCCACCTGAATCCCCTGAACAGAAAGCAAAACAGAATGTTATACTAGCATCAAGCATCAAAAGATAATGAAGAGTCTAATTGAGATCAAAAAGAGAAAGTACCCGTTGCACTCCAGCAGAATCAGTCACAGAGCTAGCTCCATGTAGTTGCGCATAACTGAGGTCCTGGACAAAAGACGAGAGTTTACTTCTTAAAAACTAAAAAATGGGTATGCAACTATTTAAAAAAAAAATTGGATCTCCAGTGACAAGTACAAACATGTTTCATAAAACCCAAGTCCATCAAAACTTTTAACAATTGGTTAACAACATGTTATTGTTAGCAAGGTTATCAACTTACATAAATCCCAATATTTCTGGTCAAGGACTAAGCTAAAAACGAACCAAACCATAGAAAACTAGTTGAAAAGGCTTCAATTGTGTTTACGTTTTTAACTAGAGCAGGTTCAGCGTTCATAGAGAGTATATAGCATCTCTTTAATTCAGAACTCAGCAAAACTAAGTCAAAGGTTAACAAACCAACAATGTAAACAAAATATTAAAAAAATGTCATTCCCAGTCCAAATATTCCGCATCTGCTGAATGCAGCAGCACAGCTCGGCAGCATGCATACAACATTACAACAAACTTGACTAGTGACCTATGATGCACCAACACTTCTTCTCGAATAGGCGTGCAGTGTCTGACACAACACGCATTTGACATGCCTCCGACATGTGTCAGACACGCTGAACTTATGTCCAATTAAAAAAATATTAAATACAAATTGGATATGTCTTAAAAAAATTTATGAAAAAAAATTAAATATAATTTCTTATATTTAAAATTTTTATTTATTTAAAATATAAAAATTAAATTTCTTATTTCTTGTCCACAACATCAAACTAATCGTTCGCACTCAATACCCCCATTCATTGAATATTCTCATTTTCATTTATGTCTGGCGGATTGCGACTTTGGTTTCACAACAATGCACGATGTCATCTCAACATCAAAGTCTGGCGTCTTTATAATATCAACATTTCAAAACCATCTCAATATCAAAGTCCGACACTGTCTTGACATTAATGATCGATACTAGCAATTTCTATATGCACAACTTGACAGCTCACATTTGTCCGACATCCTCTTAAGATCGATGACCAATGCCCTATCAACATCGATAACAAACAGTCTTGACATTGACGCCTGACTCTTGACATCCTAATATTAATCATTTTAAGCACAAATTCTAGTTAAATGACTTATTATTTCTAAATTTTTTAATATTATATTTATTTAGTATTTCTACACTATTTTTAAAATATATAAATTATAATATCGTCTCCAACCGGTGTTCGTGTCCTATATTTTCAATAATTGACGTATCCCATGCCAGCATCGTGTCGTATCTGTGTCGCGGTGTCCGTGTTTGTGCATCATAGCCAGTGACCAACCAACAGTGATGGGCCTATCAGTGAATGACAAGCTAAAACTTTCAGTTTTTGGTTTGAGATTGTCAACTTGATGACATGCTAAATCAGTAAATAACAATCAACACATTTACCACAATCATATAATTTCTTGACACTTCAAACTTGAGCAACTCTCTAGCCCAGAATCTACCTGAACAGTTGGATGACCAGCCCCACCAGATGCCGGATGCTGAGATGAGATACATGAAGTTAGTCATGAAAAACTGTAAACTAATACATTAGAGATAAGCAAGTCAAATTTACTTACTGCGAAAGTAGGCTGAAGAACCTGTATTTGTGCTTGCTGCCTTTGCTGCATTTGAGGCTGTACTAATACTTGAGAAGCTTGTTGCATAGTATGAACCAATGCCTGTGATGGGGTATGGGAAGGAGACTGTCGTTGTTGGGGAGCAATCTTCTGCAGCTGATGCTGTTGCTGCAGAAGTTGCTGCTGCTGCTGCTGCAGTATGAACAGCTTCTGTTGTTGCTGTTGTTGTTCAAATAGTGTTAGATCTTCAGGTTTCTCCCACTGCAAAACAAAAGAAAACAAGCATCCAGAAAGAAGAACAACACCACGGAGAGGAGAAGCAAACAAAGAGGAAACCTACCTTACTTTCACGGGTGGCACTATTATAGTAATATTTGAATCCTTCTGGAGACGTATGCTCTGTCCAGTTGCAACTTAAAGTTACTGCTCCAGCGGGTGCACTTGAAGGATGTGATGGGGTTGCAGATATGGTTGATGGAATAGCTGTAGCAGCTGTATTAACAGGAACAGCAGCTGTATTAGCAGAAGCACTTGAATTTGGCGGTGGCCCAGTCCATTGTGTCTGCCCAGTCCATGGTGTCTATTTAGAGCATTTAAAAATAACCAAAGTTACAGGCCAAAAAATTCATAATCACAGACCACTGTTAAATCAAATAAAGGAGAATCAGCTTTCACAGCAAAAGACATTATGATCCGTGAAACAGCCTACTAAAACAGGCAATTATCTTTAAATTTTGAAAGAGATACGTTTCAGAAGCTGGGAATACAGACAGTTAAAAGCAGGGAAATTCAGTCATTGCCAAATCACAGAAACGTGCATCCATAACAATATCAAAAGTACCTGCTGTTTAGCGGCCAGAGAATTTAGTTGTTGGCTTAGATTTGACTGCTGCATCATCTGTAGCTGTTGTTGGATCTGAAAAATTTCCATCTGTGATGATTGGTAACTTGATTGTAAAGTTTGTCCTTGTTGTTGCAGTAGAGTTTGGGATGGCAACTGTTGCATTGACTGCTGAACCAACTGCTGCGGAATGTTACAAGCAGGCAACTGCTGTTGACTAGGAACAGCTGCCAAGCCCTGTTGTTGTAGGCCTAAAGAATTTTGCATAGCAGCAGCTGTGGCATTATGCGGGGTTAGAGATGAGGATGCAGAGACTTGTCCTCTGAGACCAGGAAACTGCTGTGCCAGTAGACCTTGGTTGAGTGAGTTAAGCCCCATAGACTGAGGGATCTGAAGCTGTCCAAGTTGCTGGAAAGGTGCTTCCAGTGTTTGTGCCTGTGTATTTGAAGAAGAAATCAGTGCATCAGGGGATGTCAAAGAAGGTGATAAGTTTTGAGAGGCCATGAGAGACTTCTGCAATGGCAACATTTGCAGACCAACAGTTGGAGGGACTAGTGCAATTGAGGGGGTGAAGCTCTAAAAAAAGTGAGACAATATTATCCAAGATAGGCTGTGGAAGCTGAAATAAAAACGAATAAATCATATAAGAGTACCTGTTGAGACGTAGATGATATTAATGCTAGGTTAGGCATAGTGCCATTTGTAGGGGCCACACCTCCAAAAGAACCAGACTAGTGAACACAACGATAAAAAAAATCAATGTAAAAGATCTAAGTTGATAGAACAAATGAGGCTTACAAAGAGAAACGTAGAGCTTACTCCAGCAGCCGATGTAGGTGCAATGCCACCTTGGACAGCTGTCCGACTTCCAAATCCATGTACAGGCTGCAATGGTGGATTAAATGAGTCCCAAGCATTATGAGGCATGTGACCAACCCCTTGTTCCTCTAAATTGCTCAGTTGTCTGTAACCAAAAAGAAACAGAATGGCGGTGATAGGTGTTTCATCAACATAACATCCAAGGCTTAAAACACTAGGATCCATCTTAAATTACAAAAAGCTGCTTCGGAAAGAAGTACCCTCGTATATAAATGATGTGCACAATTTCTGCTTACTGCTTAGCATAAGGGAGGGGGGGAGCTGCAGTCAGATTTTGTGGAATGCAAGGAGAGAGAAGGAAACAAGAACACAGAACGTGAACGATCTAAATAATGAATAAACCATAGGACTTATTGAGCATTTAGGAAAAGCTTGGTGAACAAAGTTAAGAAAAAGGGGAATACAGGCAAGGTACAACTGTACTTTGTCCCAAAAAGAAATAACATCATATTCCCATTTATAACTACTGCAATATTTTGATCATTCATTCATGATATTGAACTCATTCAAAAAGTTCGTAATATGAAAAGAAGATTATTTGTAAGCTTTGAAACCTCCCAAATGTTATGGAAACCTTGAGTTCCAAATTGCAGATTGAAAATATTAGTTTCCTAGAGATTTCAAAATGCAGCCAATGTTCTATTTCTCTTGGGTTCGTAGCTTTCTATGAGTACAAGCTCATCAAGCAAATTACCTCTTCCCAAGTAGGAGAACACTACAACTAAATGCTAGGCTCTAACTCTTTAATAGTAGAACTTCATAGAATGAAAATGCACTATGCCTAACCTATGTTCATGTTTGGGTGATGTGGCATTTGCCTATATATATATGCAACTGTGCACAAGCATATAAATTGATCTGTCGGTTGTATTAGCATCTAAACAGATATAAACAAGTAGAAATTAAATTGTACATTGAAACATTTCAGCACTAAATCAAATATTACAGGAAGTTATTACTGAAGGGTTGCATGGATCATAATATTAGGCAAATTCAAAAAGGCAAGAATACGATGACATAAATCACCCACTACTAATTCAATTGCATATTTATTCTATAACTTGAATATTGTAATAAAAATACGTATCTTATTTTCTATAGTCACAAACTGATCAATTTGGATCCCTCGTGTCCTCCAACACATGTAGGATACCTAACAAACACAAGTCATTAATTAAGAATTTACACCAATTATTGTTGGCTCAAGAAAATGGCACGAGTGCGCAAATCCCGCTTTGCAGCCGTAGGATTTCATTTCCCTTAAGTCAGATTGAAATTAACCAGATTTCCACTGAGGTTAGTGTCAGGGTTTATAGATCTGGGGTTCTTACTTCCTATGAGCGCAAGCACTCATAGTTAATTACCCCTCTTACTACGTAAGAGAGAACTCTCCATTAAGGATGAATATATTTTAGGTAATTTTTTAGTCTCAATGGTGGGAAGATGGAGGTAAACCCGAACAAGATCCCATGGTTCCTCGTCCCGGGTATACCATAGTTTTCAGTCTATCAACACTAACAATCAATGACCGTAGTGTCCATGGAATCTGATTAGCAGCCATGGGTTGCCTCCTCTCAGGGTTCCCAAGTAGACTGAAGTGGTTTGTGGATTTTAATTTATTTTAGTTTGTGTTGGGGCTTATGGTTTCTTTAGAAGTTGCCTAGGAGTTTGATTTAAAATTGGGACTTATCACTCTATTTATGAGTGGCCTAAGGATGGGTCTTACAACTTAACTCTATAGTGAAGCTGCCCGGATAATTTGTTTAGTTTGAGGCTTATGGCTCCAATTAGGAGTTGCCCGGATAGTTTATTTAGTTTGGGGCTTACGGCTCCAATTAGGAGTTTATTTATGAGTGGCCTAAGGATGGGTCTTACAACTTAACTCTATAGTGAAGCTGCCCGGATAATTTGTTTAGTTTGGGGCTTACGGCTCCAATTAGGAGTTGCCCGGATAGTTTATTTAGTTTGGGGCTTACGGCTCCAATTAGGAGTTGCCCGTTAATTTATTTAGTTTGGGGCTTACGGCTCCAATTAGGAGTTGCCCGGATAGTTTGTTTAGTTTAGGGCTTACGGCTCCAATTAGGAGTTGCCCGTTAATTTATTTAGTTTGGGGCTTACGGCT